GAATGTGGACAGGATCAGACTCAGATGGGATTCCTTCCATAGATGAACAGCCTCACTTGGGGATATAACTTATTAGTTTCACCAACTTGTTAGTTTCACCAACAGTGAGAATAAAATCACCAATTTTAGCCAGTTAACATAAGAACATAAGAAATGCTACACAACAAAGACCAAGGTCCATCTAGTTTGCCTTCCATCTTCCTGGCGGTTGCATATACATATGTCCTGAACTACCTATGTACTATATTCATGATGTTATCTGTTAAAAGAAAACTATCTCATCTGTGTTTGAAGGAATCAACACTTCCTGCTTCAACCATCTCCCTCGGGTCTGCCCAATTCCCAAGTATATTCAAATCCTCCTTTTAGACCCCACTGTTCAGACTGACCCATGATAAAGGATCGTGAGGATGAGATATAAGAGGGAAGCCAGGTCCCATGGAGCTGTACTCATTGCAAGCGTTAATGCCTTTAGGAGAGAGGAGAGAAAATCGGAAAGACATCTTCATTCACATTGTTGGATTCCTGCCGAGTTGAGAATAGTGCCTCAGCTGTGTTCAGGAAAGAAGCAGGCCATTTAAAAATAAGTTATTAAAATTCAGAGCTTTATAGTTAACTTTGCCTGGCCTTTTTCCTGCTGGCATTTATATATAGAAACAACTGCTCTGAGATCTGCTGATAAATGGAGTGATTTGCAAGATTGGCCCATTACTAACATGCCTTATGAGTTTCCCTGACTCCACTCTCTGGCTCTGTGCCTTCTCCAATGTAATGCCACAGCTGAGTTTGGGAAGCAATGTACAAACTTGCATTCAGCTTCCTTAATGGGCTTTAAATCCGATATCCTTTGTGATTCACTGATTTACATGCACCCACAGATGTACGGATAACACTGCTTAACCAATTTCTTTTGCACAGTTACATAGACACTTTATCCCCTTCCTCATGTATACCCACCTGAAACAAAATCAGAATAATTGCCCATTTATGTCATTGCTGTTTGCAGGACAGCGTTAGCATTCTATAAATTAGCTGTCCGTTTTTTGACTACGCATGAATCAATTTTACTTGATACATTTATAGTGGGAAATTTGAGATATAATAATAATTCTTGCATTTAATATAGCGCCTTAACACGTCTTCGAGACGTCTCACAGCTCTTCACAGAATATACTGAAAAGTGAATTGACTGTATATTTTGTGGGCGAAACGTGGCAGCCATTTATTATACCTGTAATAATAATAATGATAATCCTTGCATTTGATGAAGTGCCTTATTGCGTTGTGAAGATATCTCACAATATATTTAGGAGTCCTGTAGCTCAGTGGTTAGAGCACTCGCTTTGCAAGCGAGAGACCTGAGTTCAATTCCAGGCAGAGGGCGAAACCTTGGGCAAGTTTTCTTACTCCACACGCCTAATAATAATCCCTCCAAAACCAAAAACAATAATAAATTGGTCATTTTCAATCTACGACTGTTTGTGGGACATTGCTGTGCACAATTGGCTGCCGCGTTCGCCCACAAATATACAGTCAATTCACTTTACAGTGTGTTCTGTGAAGCGCTTTGGGACGTCCTCCCGACGTGAAAAGCGCTTTATCAAATGCAAGGATTATTATTATTATTATTATTAAGACAGTGCCATAAGATATTGAAGAGGCCAACTGACCAGGCAGGTAGGGGCTCTGTTTAACATTTCATTCAAAGGACAGAGTTTGAGATCACCATTGTCCAGTTATGAATTTGAACATCCCCTAACCCCCCCAACTTTGGAATAATGGTTCCTCCCTCCAGCTTCACAACAACAACAACAACAAATTGCATTTACCTTGCCGGGATGTCCCAAGGTGCTGGACAGTCGAGGGTTTACTAACCTAAACGCTTCTAATATTGCCATGGAGATGTGAAGCAATGTCTTCATCAAAGAATTCATCTCAAGGAAAGCATTTAAAACCATAACTGAATTCAGATGAAAATGACTCTGACGCCAGCAATTTTAAATAAAAGCTGGAAGTCAAGCTTTAACATGGCGCAAGATTTTACACCGTGTTTGATTGCTTGAAACTATTTTTAGATTTTTTTTATTAGTATTTTTACAGCATTCAACTTCAATCTTTTTGTGTCAGCCTGGCTCGACTAGCAGCACTCTTCCCTCTGATTTCGAAGGTTACGGGTTCACAACCTGAACTTGTATTGTCCAGGTTGACACTCCAATGCAATACTGGGGGTGTGCTGCATTCTTTGAGGGGCTATCCTTTGGATGAGATGTTAAACTGAAGTCCCATCTGCCTGTTCAGATTGATATTGAAACCTCATGGCACCATTTGAAAGGGGGAGTTCCTTCCCGTGTCCTGGCCAACGATCCCTCAAATAGTATTGGTCATTCACTCAGGGCTGTTTGTGAGATACTTCTGTGCAGAAAGTAGCTGCCATGTGTGTGCCTACAAAATACACAGTCCCATTACTTTACAATGGATCCTGTGAAACACTTTGAGATGTCTTCCTGACATGAAAGGAGCTACATCAAATGTACATATTATTATTATTATTATTATTATATTATTTATTTTCAGGTCACTATCTGTGGAGTGTGGAGTCTTGTAGCTCAGTGGTTAGGGCACTCGCCTCATAAACGAGAGACCTGGGTTCAATTCCCGGGCAGGGTGAAATGTTGGGCAAGTTTCCTTACTCCACACGTCTCTATTACCTAGCAGTAAGTAGGAACCCGGTTGTTAGTCGATTGGCGGATTGCTTTTCTGGGGATAATAATCCCTAAAAAAAATAATAATTTTGTCACTCAATCCATGACTGTTTGTGGGACACTGCTGTGCGCAATTGGCTGCCACATTTCGCCCACAAATATACTGTCAATTCACTTTACAGTACATTCTGCGAAGCACTTTGAGACGTCTAGAAGACATGAAAAGCATTTTGAGAATCTAGAAGGCATGCAAAGCGTTATATCAAATGCAAGGATTATTATCATTATCTGGCACTATCTATCAACCCACGATTGTTTGTGAATCATCTTTATGCACAATTGGTTGTCGCGTTTCACCCACAAAATATACAATCAATTCATTTTACAGTATATTTTGTGAAGAGCTTTGAGACGTCTCGAAGACATAATAAGGTACTATATCAAATGTAAGGATTATTATTATAAAGAAGCATTCACCAGGGCCCCTATTCAAGAGTTTTGAGATTGGTCCACACTCAGCATATTAAGTATGATAAATAGGAAATGTGCCGCTATCCTATTTGTCACATTGCAGTCAACCTCTTACCAACAATAAACACAGTGGTGCAGCCATAGCTTTGTTTTTGAAGCAATTACTTAATGAACATTCTTTTCCTGGATAAACTGTGTTTAAATATAATCTGCATGAATGGCTCACCAAAAGTGGCATTAAAATAATAATTTGGCACCAGGTTGCAAATTAAGTACAAGTGCACCATACTTCTGCCTTGATACCTGGGAGGATTATCACATGAGTTTCTCAACAGCACCTTGCATTTTGCACCAACACAATGATGGAAAAGACAACCAACACAATTTACAGCAATGCAAACCAAACGTAACACTACCAAACCAGTTGTATCTGTATATTCAAATCAGTAAAGATAGGGGAATAAAATCCCTATTGTTAAATGTTGAAGTGTTTATTTTACAGTTGGGTTGTGGATTTATTAAACCATGAGAATATTGATATTTTGCAATAGCAGTAAAATGATCACTGGCTTACACTGTACTGGGAAAGCCTTTTGCGAATCAGTACTCTATATCAAAATTAAGCTAGTAAAATACTATATTTTCACCCACAAAATACACAGTCAACTCACTTTACAGTATATTCTGTGAAGTGCGTTGAGATGCCTCAAAGACTTAATAAGGCACTCTATCAAATGCAAGGATTATTATTATTATTTGTTTATCTGAAATGACATAAAATGACTCCAATGAAATAAGTGCAGTAATACCAAAAAGTCAAGTTGACTCACAGTATAATTCTGGGATGTTGTGGTTCTTAAATACTGGGCTATAACATAAAAGGCCCCATTAACAGATAGCACAATGTATTTCATTAGACACTACCCAGAATGATGTCTGTCTCAGGCCTGCAGAAACTATAACATTTCGCCCACATAACATACAGTCAATTCACTTTACAGTATATTCTGTGAAGCGCTGTGAGACGTTATGAAGGCGTTATATCAAATGCAGGGATTATTATTACAATGAAAACAAATGATTGATTGCCTTACATATATGATTGATAACCAGAGCTGATGCAATTCACAGACATCACAATTTTAAAGTAAAAGTCAGCACAATAGCAGAATGATGGGCGAGCCCACTCTCACACATACCTGGACCTACATTTTAACAAACCAACGCCTAAACAGTGCACAATGCACTGAGTATCCCGATGGATTCAAGAAAATAAAAGACACTGGATTTTTTTTATAACAGATGCAACGGATGACTCAGGGGGAAATGACAATCATTTCATCGCCCCAGAAGCGTCGCAAAAGATGCACTTACATCTTAACCATCCGTCTGAATTCGTGCCAATTTTTTTGATTCAAAAAAAAGCTTATTTTAGCTCAATTTTAAAAAAGCCAGCGCATTAATTGAGTACCCTGACGTATTAAATATTCGATTAAATATCCTTAACTCACAAATAATAACAACAACAATACCTTATTATTAAAGAACAGCAATAGCAATTATCATGATGTGAAGACGATAATAATAATAATGATGATGATGATGATAATAGTAATAAATAAATAATAATAATTATCATTGTTAGGATCAGAGTGACCATTCAGCAGGACATGGTGACATTATTAGTCAAGAGACACTACTGAAGGCCACCGGGCAATGAGGTGAGAAAAGTGCTCAAACCAGACAGGTGCAGTGCTGTGAGTGGGGGTCCAGGTGACTCGGCAGAGAGTGGCCATCGACAACAGACAGCGATGTTATTTCACGTACCACACGGACCCGTAAGCGCCCGATCCAACCGGGGTCAGGTTCTGGTACCTGTCGGGCACTTCCCAAAGCGTTTTGTTCAACTCCTGCCTATAAAAGCCAGTCCTGACCGACATGGTGTGTCCCTTTATATCCCAAACACAAGGACTCGATCAGCTGTGCAGGTCCTCCTCTCCTCTCCTCTCCTCTCTCCTCCTCTCCTCCTCTCTCCTCCTCTCCTCTCCTCTCCTCTTCTCCTCTCTCCTCCTCTCCTCTCCTCTGCTCCTCTCTCCTCCTCTCTCCTCTCCTCCTCTCCTCCTCTCCTCTCTCTCCTCTCCTCCTCTCCTCTCTCCTCTCCTCTCTCCTCTCCTCTCCTCTCCTCTCTCCTCTCCTCCTCTCCTCTCTCCTCTCCTCTCTCTCTTCCTCTCCTCCTCTCTCTCTTCCTCTCTCTCCTCTCCTCCTCTCTCTCTTTCTCTCTCTCCTCTCCTCTCTCTCTCTCTTCCTCTCTCTCCTCTCCTCCTCTCTCTCTTCCTCTCCTCCTCTCTCTCTTCCTCTCCTCTCCTCTCCTCCTCTCTCCTCTCCTCTCCTCCTCTCCTCCCTGTGTGTGTCAGGCAGTCACGGCTCTGCTCCAAAATGCTGTGCGTCAGTCAGTCAGTCAGTCAGTCAGTCAGTCAGGTCTCTGCTCCAAGTCCCGTGTGGCAGTCAGACAGTCACAGTCAGACCGGCAATGCACAACCCAAACTCATTAGAGATTCCAGCCACGCGTCTGCGTTTTATTATTACATGTCTTGCTCCCCCTGAAGATCGCAGGCTGGGTCTGGGTCTGGGTCTGGGTCCTGGTCTGGGTCTGGGTCCTGGTCTGGGTCTGGGTCCTGGTCTGGATCTGGTCTGGATCCTGGTCTGTGTCTGTGTCCTGGTCTGGGTCTGTGTCTGTGTCTGGGTCCTGGTCTGTGTCTGTGTCCTGGTCTGTGTCTGTGTCCTGGTCTGGGTCTGTGTCTGTGTCTGGGTCCTGGTCTGTGTCTGTGTCCTGGTCTGGGTCTGGGTCTGTGTCTGTGTCTGGGTCCTGGTCTGTGTCTGTGTCCTGGTCTGTGTCTGTGTCTGGGTCCTGGTCTGTATCTGTGTCCTGGTCTGTGTCTGTGTCTGTGTCCTGGTCTGGGTCTGTGTCTGTGTCCTGGGTCTGGTCTGTGTCTGGTCCTGGTCCTGGTCCTGGTCTGGTCTCTCTGCTCTGGCTCTGGCTGGTCAGGTTAGTCCCCCCTCCCCAGTGCTCTCAGCCACGACTGCAGAGCGATGCGGGGTATTAATTACACAGCCACAAGCGATGGTTTTCAGGCTCTGTGTGTGTGTGTGAGAGAGAGAGAGAGAGAGCTGTGCTGGAGAGCTGCTGGAGAGCTGCTGGAGAGCTGGAGATGGAGCTGGTGATGGAGGGCTGGAGCTGGAGAGCTGGTGATGGAGAGCTGGTGATAGAGGGCTGGAGCTGGAGCTGTGACTGCAAACTGTCATGTACAGAGCTCTGGTTCTCTCTGCGTTGACCTATTAACGTGATTTCGAGATGATGTGGAGGGAGGGAGGGGAGGAGAGGGGAGGGAGGAGGAAAAAAGGGGTGGCAACCACAAAACAAGCTGTTATATTTTTGAAATTCTTATTTTCCTCCTTTAATTTGATCCCCTTCCCTGCTTCCCCAGAAGGAGAGAGAGACAGACAGAGACAGACAGACAGACAGATAGAGAGAGAGAGAGTGAGAGAGAGAAAAAATGAAACTGCTTGGAGCTGTTGTGGAGTGGAATTCAGCTTCCACCCACCCCCAGCTATTGTTTGATCGTTGCTGAAGATATCTATTTATTTAGTAAACCTAGTATTTGTCAGTACAACAAACAACTCAAAATACAACACAACGTACAACATCTTTTGTTACATTTCAACCCCCCGCCCGCCCCCGCATCCCAATAAATTCGGCACTTCACTCTGCCTTGCCCCCTCCTTCCACATCTGGCCATTCTCCAGATCCGGTCACTGATCAGGACCGCCTTTCTCCACCTCCCCCGCATTGCTGGCCTCCGACTATACCTTACCCCGGACACAGCTGAAACACTCGTCCATGCGTTCGTCACCTCCCGCCTCGACTATTCAAATACCCTCCTCCACGGTCTCCCCCGTTCCACCATACACAAAATCTAGTGGCCGCCGCTCGCATACTCACCCGTGCAAAACTTCTTACCCCCAAAACACCAGTTCTAGTCAGGCTCCGCTTGTTCCCTATCGGCAAACTCATCAATTTCAAGATCCTCACACTCATTATCAAATCGCTTCATGTCCTGGCACCTCCCTACCTCTCCGGCCGGTTTACTCTTCAACCCACTACCCACTGCCTCCGTTCGACTGGCTCCGGCCCCCTGCAATTCTCTCGTGCCCTCCCATTCCACTATTGGTGGCCATGCTCTTAGCCACTACACCCCAAAACTCTGGAGCACTCTTACTCTATCCCACGCCTTGCCCTTCCTTTCCCAACTTCACACCATCATCATCATAATAATAATCCTTGCATTTGATATAGCGCTTTTCACATCTTCTAGACGTCTCAAAGCGCTTCACAGAATATGCTGTAAAGTGAATTGACTGTATATTTGTGGGTGAAACGCGGCAGCCAATTGGTACAGCAGTGTCCCACAAACATTCGTGGATTGAAAATGACCAATTTATTATTGTTTTGTGTTTTTGGAGGGATTATTATTAGGCATGTGGAGTAAGGAAACTTGCCCAAGGTTTTGCCCTGCCTGGAATTGAACCAGCAAGGCGAGTGCTCTAACCACTGAGCTACAGGACTCCATGCCTGAAGACATTCCTCTTTAACCGTGCCTATAGTCACCTCCTCCCTTACCCCCGGATCGGTGTCATGCTCCGCCACTGCCAAGCCTTCTGGGACGCTGCCCTGCACGAGGGGCGCTATATAAATCCAAGTTTTTGTTATTGTTGTTCACAGGATTTTACCATAAAGTGTAGGACTGTAGTGACTCTTCATTTGCAAACTCAACAGCTAATTTACTCGCAGCAATGCACTGCAAGCAGACATGAAGTGTATGACCGATTTTATCAGGGGGATTGTTGGCCAGTGGACCAGGAAAACACTTTTCTCTTTTCAAGCAGTGCCAAGAGATCTTTACCGTCCACCTGAACATGCTGAACAGGCCTTGGTTTCATACCTCATCCAAAGGACGGTGCCTCTGCCATTGTGGAGCTCCTCCAACACTGTCAGTCAGAACAATGAGCCCAAAATCATGACCCGGGGCTTGAACCTCCAACCTTCTTATTCAATTCTGCTATCAACTGAACCGGGCTGGAACCTACATGCTAATTTGACTGTGCTGTCGATCATCCTCCTACCCCCACAGCCCATGCCCTCCACCCCTCTTGATTCCAACCCCAGCTCGGGTGCAAACCCTTGAATAGCCAGCACTTTAGGACGTTCTCCCGACATGAAAGGTGCTATGTAAATGCAAGTTGTTATTGCTGTATACAGTTAAGCTATGATGATGGTGGCGTGTGTGGGTGGAGCGGGTGTGTGTGCGTGTGTGTGACTTCAGTTGAGTAAAATAATGCGCAATTATTTTGAAATCGTAGCAACATCTGAGAAATGCTGAATGAAAATAAGCGTAACATTGCCTCATTCTTGTAAGCTGCCTCAATCCAACGGCATTACTCACAAAAAAGCAGATCCAGTTTCACAACTATCTGCAGCAGGAAAGCAGGAACATAATGTGTAGCTGAATTTCGAGTTTCACAACCTGCCGTTTGACAGATATTTCATGGCAGCATTTCTGTGGTCAGAACTCGGAGAGAGTTGAGAAGAAATAGTTACCTGTAGCTGATCTGTCAATGCAATGCAATGACAACTGCTACTCAATGCAATGACAACAGCGCTCAGGCGCTGACACCATCAGCATCCAAGGCTGCACTCTCCACCTCTCAAAGCCAGTCAGGAACCTCGGCGTTTTGTTCGACCCTGAGCTGTCCTTTCTCCCTCACATCCGCACCACAACTGGCACCGCCTTCCATCACCTCCGGAACATCGCCAGACTACGGCATTACCTCACCCCTCACGCTGCTGAAACCCTAGTTCATGCCTTTATCACCTCAAGGCTGGACTATGGGAACTCTCTCCTCGCCGGCCTTCCCGCCACCTCCCTCCACAAGCTGAGGTCATTCAGAACTCTGGTGCTCGTGTACTGTCCTGCACCAGGCTTCGGGACCACATCACTCCCACCCTCACTCGCCTCCACTGGCTCCCCATCCCCCAGAGGATTGATTTCAAGATCCTCATCCTCACCTACAAGGCCATTCACGGCCTTGCTCCCTCCTACCTCTCCAACCTACTATCCCCTACCTACCTGTCCGTACCCTCCGTTCCTCTGGCTCCGGTCTGCTCCACGTCCCCCGCCCCAACCGCCCTACCATCGGTGGTCAGGCCTTCAGCCTCTCAGCCCCGAGGCTCTGGAACTCCATCCCCCAGTGCCTTCGCCTTGCTTCCTCCCTTTCCTCCTTCAAGGCCGGTCTCAAAACCTTTCTCTTTGACCGTGCCTTCAGCTCCCCTCTCGACTCTCTTCCCCCTCCTCGCTCCCTCCCTTCCTTCCCCTCACCCTGACCATTTCCCCCCTCCTCGCTCCCTCCCTTCCCTCACCCTGACCATTTCCCCCCTGCTCGGGTCATGACCCAACTGTGCAGCGCCTTGGGACGTCCTCCTGACGTGAAAGGCGCTTTATAAATGGAATCTTGTTGTTGTTGTTGTTGCTAAAATGCTCCAGAAGAGTTACTTTTGTGCTGGGAGGAGGAAAGGGGAGGAGGAATAAGAAGAGAATGGCGAGTAAAGAGAAGAGGAGGGGATGGGGCAGAATGAAAAGCAGGGGAAAAGAGGACAAAATGAGAGAGAGAGAGAGAGAGAGAGAGAGGGAAGAGAGGAAAGGGGAAAAGCAAGGTTAGGAGAGGAGATGTTAGCACAAAATTTTCAAGAATAAATTAGATAGATTTCAGTTAGGAAATAATATCTCAGGATACATTATATAGTTTGGGACATGACATGTCAAGCGATAACCAGGATGGTGGCAGGCAAACTGGATGGACGTTGGTCTTCTTTCGCCTAGCAATTTCTTATGTTCTTATCTTCTTAAATGTTATTGTGAAAGGAGAAACCACAAAGCCAATTCAATCACACAAGATGAAAATGAAAA